CATACACAAGCCTTGGTTCCCAGCATATGTAAAGCTGGACAGAGGTTTGTACGTGTATAGGGGGACTTTGAGAGTGGCAAAAAGTAGCTGCTTGGGAAGGACTTGGTGTGAAGAAGGAAGTGGACAAATTTTGCATCACTGACATACATTAAAGAAATCACTTTTCCATTTGTAAATGATTGGATTTTTCATGAATGCAGAAATCTCTATGCTCTGAGGACAGCAGACAGATGATCTCTCTCCTGTATCCCAGCAGCAGCTGTGCACCATTTAATCAGGTTACATGTTATTGGCACATTTCCTGGTTTGCTTTTTGCCCTCAGTCAAGCTCTATTCTCAATCTTCTACCTTATCCTTTGGGTTCATGTTGTTATTTGGTGAACTTACTTCCTGGGCAGTTACTGAGCATGGGACATTTCCTAGCCATTTGGCTCTGCAGGCATCAGCAGTTCCAGTTCTGCAGCACACCAGTGCCACCAATGTTTCCCACCTTCTCGTCACTGGATTCTGCTCATCATCTGAATGGAGACGGAAACTTGTCCTGCTACCATATTCCCCTACATTCCACCTCCATTTCCAGCTGGTACCATCTGAAATATTTGAGCCTTTGCTAACTGTGTGTGTGCTCCTTCCTGCTCCAAAATGACGCAGGAGGCATTCCAGGCTTTTTTTTGGAATTTGGGGAAGGGGGGACTGACTGTGTGAGGAAATATCCAGGTAACACGTATTTCCTGCGGTGCCAGTGTGGGGCCCTTTGGGGACTTTTTTTTTCCTGCAGAGGGAAAACCACCTTGCATGCAGCCCTGCGGAAAGCAATTGAGAGAGAGAGACAGGGACAGGCAGCAGGGAGTGAGAGAGAAGAGCAATTTACCTCACTTAGACCCGCTAATATGTTTCTAGCCTATAAAGACAAGAAGAAATGAATAAAGACGGGCAGAAACACAGTTTGTTTTATTAAAATTCTTGACAGCATTTGCTGTAATGCTCTTGTTAAAAAAGATTAAAAACAACAAAAAGATGAAAGTGTTACGTCCTTGCTCTCTACTCCACACAGTAATACGGGAACCAGTACAACTGGCTTCCAGATAACTGTTCTTATTAGCTATATGCAAATATGTGTAACTTAGCTGCCTACATATGCCTCCTGTGTGTCTGGTCATGGCTCCTATCAGAGGCCTTTCAAACAAATAAAAAGGATGCTACCAAATCTGTGCATACTACATACTGTCCTTTCTTCACAATACCTTGGTGTGATTAACAAAATGATCAATTCTGTTCCTGAGATTAAACGATAATACATATTTCCAAATGAATTACACTTTGTCGGCATCACCACTTTGTGAATCACAAGGACTGCAGCTCACTGCGGCAATGTCTGTGAGGACTTTCTTATTAAACTTGTGCCATGGGAGATGGCTGGCTGGAAAACAAGAATCCTATGCTAACAAAATGCTGTAATTTTATTTCTTTCCATTTAAGAGCAGATGATGAGGTCTTTTCAGAGGCTGGAGTAGTTAGGATTATAGGAATTAGGGCTATCATCAATATATGCAATCCTTTGATGTGCAAAAGATCAGTAATTAATCTGCTACCCTGGATCAGACAGATTACCCTCTGCTGCACTTTTGTATTGAAGGTTTTCCAGGGCTTAGATGATCAAACTAGAGAGAGCTCTCCCATGAAGAAAATCTTCATAGATATGAGAGATCACTATTTAGGCAGAGTAGAAGTCTCAACACCAGTCAATCTTAACTAATCTTAACTAAATCGCCTAGACTCCTGACCATTCTGGAATCTCTTTGGCAGAAGTTTCCCCACATATCTGAGAAACATATTGAATACAGGTCATATATATAAATTTCCTTCCCACAGAAAATTCTGTGAGACTGTTATACTTCTGGAGTTTCAGATTTGATGAAATGGTATCTTGTTGAATTCGGTGAGAATTGTTCTTGTTATACCGAATGAACTATTGAACAGTGTGCTCTTCAGTGTTCAAACTCCACTGCTAACAGACGCGGGAACGAGGAGAAATATTTGTATTCAACTAATGAGGAAACATCCCCTGCTCTGGGTAGAAGATATGTCAGGCTGGATTGTTGGCAAGTTTACGACAACTGCTTTTCATCAGCACTTTTTTTGTCTTCATATCATTATTAAATTTGGAAACAATTAAAGAACTTAACTGGGTTGAATACCTGAACTTATTTTCTTAATATCAAGATGAGTATTTTTTCAAATATTTTGTGATTATTTCCCCATCAAACACAAGCTTTGCTTATGTGCAATTCAGACTTCACCCCGTCCCCACTGCTTTTTCAATTCCTAGGTCAGTCTACCAGAAGTGTGTACAGCTGAACCTCAGGGAATGTGCATCCGTTTCTGGAACCCTGGAACGTCACGTACCTTACCAGTCCAGATCCGTTTCTCCCACGTTCTCTGACAAGTAGTGCATACACTAGGTTTGCTGTGTACAGCATGTAGGTGCTAGCCTTTGCTGTGAGAAATGGAGATTAAAAGTACTGAAGTTTCTGCAACTTCACTTCTTCAAGCAGTTTCCAATAATCCTACCATGAAATTACAAAAACAGCAGGACCAGAGCAAACATCACTATATATTTCACTTCCTCTATTTATAAAGGAATCTAGATAAAATGTAGATTTTTATCACCTAAATTAAACAGTTATTCTGTA